TCCCTGATACACACTGACACAGAGCAGAATAGGGACTCCCCCCCTACATCGGGTCACTTGGCAGATATGGATTGACACCTTGTTACAAACTGCTATTTGTAACGGGCCCTTTAAATGGCAAATTGCCCTGCTTCCCTGGGTTGTGGAGAAGCCTATTTGCCAGCCTCCTCCCGCATGACTATGGCCCCTGGGAGATTGTGAAAATGTATGCACTTTTATTTGGTGTGTATGGCCCTTTAAGACTGTCGGTGGGCATATTGGGGCTTATGGACTCTTTATGTGACTGGTGCTGGCCCTTTAAACACCTTTTTTGGGACATCAGGAAGATTGGGACACTGCCCCTTTAAGGCCGTGTCCCCAGACTTGTTGGGGACACGGCCCCTTTAAGACGGTGTCCCCTGTGTCCCCAGACCTGGTGCAAACCCTTTGTGCCTGCCTTGCTATTTCCCACTTGGTTCAGTAAATGGGAAATTATTTCAGCTGCAGAGACTAAGTCCCATTCGGCGATGGGACTTAGTCTTTTTTTCAGCCGTTTTTTTCAGCCTTATTTCAGCTGCAGAGACTAAGTCCCATTCGGCGATGGGACTTAGTCATTTTTTCAGCCTGAAATAGACCGACCTCACAGCCCAAATCTATGGAACTGTTTTGGGCAGGAAAATGTGCTTGCGGTCGGTCATAAAGGGACCTCCAGCTAACTTTTTAACCCCTGGATGGATTTGGCTGATTTTTGGTTATGTTTATGTTTTAAGTGTGCTGATTCCAAATATGTAATTATGAAGATGGGATGTGTAGTTTTAAAGTTACAGGGTATGGCTAAAAACTGTATTTTTACTGCCTGTGTTTAATTATGTTAATCTCTTCCCAAACGTCATTTCGTTCAAAGTGGAGAGAATGTTAAAAAAATATATTTTTTGTTCGGAGTGTGAGAAATGCTTTTCAGCCGCTTCTAATCTTAAGCATCATTTGAGGAGCCATACAGGAGAGAAACCTTATTAGTGGTGTGTTTAGTATTGTTCTGATCAGTTTAATACCTTCCGCGTCTCCTATCAGTGGACGCGTATATGGCAGCCATTTTAGGAACCGTACACCTGGGACCCGAGCAAGGTCACCTCGTTCAACAGGCTTGCAGCGGATCCTCCAGGAAGAAGAGCCTGAACCCTTACCAGCTGCACGTGTCTTACCTGTACATGGAAAGCTGCTCTGGTTCCTTGATGAGCCAGCTGCCCGTGAGTTAACATGTCCCGTGGAGAAGCACTCTGTCCTGTAAAGCCTCGCCAAAAAAAAGGAGTGGTGTGTTTAGTATTGTTCTGATCAGTTTAATACCTTCCGCGTCTCCTATCAGTGGACGTGTACACGGCATTGATTTTATCTAAGCCGTAAACTTTTGCACAGCGAAGTATATTCACTGCCATTGAAAAGGAGTGCATGGCGGTGGTGTGGGCCCTCAAAAAGCTGCAACCTACTTGTATGGACAACCGTTTACCCTACTCACAGATCACATTAAATTTGAGGCACTGCGCGGTCAAGCTAATGTGACACCAGATAGTAGTGGTGTGTTTAGTACTATTTTTATCAGTTTAATACCTTCCGCGTCTCCTATCAGTGGACGGTACACGTACTGACTTCCGTAACAGGGAGATGGAAGAAGAGGCCATCGGTCCTCTTACTGCAAATTCCAAGTAACTGCGCGTCAAGCCAATGTGACAATCAGATAGAGTGGTGCGTGTTTAGTATTGTTCTGATCAGTTTAATACCTTCCGCGTCTCCTATCAGTGGTCGTGTACACGGCATTGATTTTTCTAACAGGGAGATGGAAGAAGAGGCTTGGTCGGTCCTCTTACTGCAAATTTGGGGCACTGCGCGGTCAAGCTAATGTGACACCAGATAGGAGTGGTGTGTTTAGTACTATTTTTATCAGTTTAATACCTTCCGCCTCTCCTATCAGTGGACGTGTACACGGCATTGATTTTTGTAACAGGGAGATGGAAGAAGAGGCTTGGTCGGTCCTCTTACTGCAAATTTGGGGCACTGCGCGGTCAAGCTAATGACACCAGATAGGAGTGGAGTGTTTAGTACTATTTTTATCAGTTTAATACCT